CATCTGCGCCCCCCCCCCCCCCCACGCACACACACACGCACTCACACACACACGCACACACACACACACACACACACACACACGCACACGCACACGCACACACACACACTCCGGCTGTTGATCAAATCATCACAACATAAATCTGCTTTTGTTCTTCTCTCGTTTTTATTTGTCTCTCTCCCAGATTTCTCTCTGCAGGTTATTTTTAACGCTCGCCGTCGTCACTGAGAAATAAACCAGGGATTTTATTTCACGTCCGTTCAGTAGCTGCAGTGGTGGAAAGTAGCTGAGTACATTTACTCGAGTAAGTCTTGTACTTCTCTTGAGTACTTCAGGAAAGCATCGTGGTTTAAGTTAAAACTCGAACACCTTTCTCCGAAGTGAAAGTCCAGGGTTTGGCCCGTCCCTCCTCCTCACACGGACTGTCTGCCTGTTTCCAGACCCTCCAGGATCTCGAGGCCTTTTTCAGGATTTTTGAGCAGCTTTTCTAAAAATGTGCGAAGTTCTTGCAGCCTGTGTCTCAGAGTTTCTCCATGTGTTTCTGACGTTCTGTCAGGAGACGGTTTCCTTTGCGTTCGACCACGACGCTGCACGTTCTGCAGAACAGTTCCCCGCTTTGGTGAAGAAGATCTGGATCCTGGTCTTCACGGCCCTTTGCTGTTGTTGTCGGAGGTAAATGTGAGACGTTGGTATCGCACACGAGTTTGCGGACGGGTGCCAACGTTCAGCGGGAACGTTGTGGTGATTGGTCGGTCGGACTGAAGTCACGGGGATTTGTTGAATTTGTGTTAATATTTGTGAAATCCTGGAGCCTCAGATTTATAATACGTCACTCTTTGCGGCCGTTGTAAAGCCACTAGAGGTCGTATTTACGGGTCCAAGGGCGTCACTTTGGGTTGAGACACAAGGGCTCACATGAAACAACTTTTTTAATGATCTTCAGCATGCGTTTTTAGAAAATACGAGCTGCAGCGCAGATTCTGTTAAAGTTACTGATCGTTTTTGGGTCGTTTTACTTTTTTTTACTTACTTACTACTTTTTGGACAACGCACATTTCTTTCTTCTACATTTAACGTGTTTTCTTATTGTGCAAATAAACCTTTCTCGAAGCGTTTTCATTTCTTGGTGCAAAGCTATTTACTTTCTCTTTCCCCATAATAAGGTTCTGTGTTGTTGTTTCTGTGCTGAGGACGGATGATGAAGTAAAGTAGCTTCAATACTTATAATCTAGTAATATCATGTATATTACTCTGCATAATGAGTACTTTTTATTTTTAGTACATTTTGAAAGCAGTGTACTACACGGTGGTATTATTACTTTAGTATTTCCTTAGAACCTCCCTGCTGGAACAGCCACGTCTGATGACATCACTGTGACATCATCCTCAGCTCTCTCTCTCTCTCTCTGTAGCTCTCTCGCCCACTACAGAGACTGACCCACTTAGTCTGAGCTGGACACACACACACACACACACACACACACACACACAGTTCGCCTGCCCACACCAGACTCCATACAAAAAACAAGTTATTTTATTCATTTGCTAATGAGCTTTCATCCCTTTTTCACAAAATGTGACAAAAAGATGTTTCTCAGCTCGTGAGGACTCAGATTCAGCATGTAGTATTATCCACCCAGCAGCTTTTTACTTAGATATAAATGTCATCAGTTGGTTCGCACCGCTCGCCGCCGCCCACCGGCTCGGAGGATTGGCCATCTGGAGGATTGTTGTCCAGAAACTCCGACACAAAAAGATTTTAAAATGTCCTGGAAAACGCAACATGGCAGTCTGACTGTGGGCGGATCTGAAGGTTCCTCTGAAAGGCCGCGTCGACCCCCAGCGAGGGGTGGAGACAGTTACTGAAACTCTTTTAATCCATGAAGCAGTTTTCACATCTGATCTGTCCGAACGAACCTGCGCTGAGTCCTTCTGCCTCCAAACACACCGACACCCACCCGTTATAAACAGGCTTCTTATGTAACACTCGAACCTCAAACAGCGCTAAATATACCACCGCTGCTCAGAGAGAGACAAGGACCCGGCTTCAGGGGCTCCTGACGACGCGTCCTCGAGCTCGACACGAGCGCCCGACTGCTCCTGGCGTGTGTGGAACTGCATCAAAAATACATCTGCAAAGGCTGAATGTAAAGCACTGATGATTGAATTTCTGATTTCTCGCTAAAGATGCGCAGCGACACGCCAACAGTAATGTGACTGGCACGTTTCCACAGCACGCCGGCGTCCGCTTGGCTCCTGGCTGTCTGACTGGTTTACACAGTACAACTTTTTTATACGCTGATCTTCATGGTGTCGTTCAGCGCACACGGCACTGTTCAACGCTAGAAGAGTTACTATAGATAACAGTCAGAGTGAGGAGCTGGTTGGCGGGCCAGAAACGAGACGAGGAGGCCGGTGTTTGTTTCCCGTGTGAAACTAACACTGAAGTTATGAAACTTACGTAATTTAAGTCAAACATTGATCTTTTCCTAAAGGTAATCAAACTGCATAAACTTCCACCCATCGTCAGCCGCTTCTCCTGCGTACAGGGTCGCTGGAGCCCAGCGGACATCGGGCGAAAGGCGGGGTCCACCCCGGACAGGCCGCCAGTCCATCGCAGGGCCACACACAGACAAACAACCAGTCGCGCTCACAGGAGGACTGTGCAGGTTGGCTAAACGCCAAATGAACCGACCTGTTGCTTGGCAGAGCCAGCACAGGCACCGATGAGTAATGCGTTTATTATAACCTGAGATTATTTATATATGCAGTTGTGTGCAGGCATTCAGGCTAAATTATATATTTATATATATTATCGGCAACAGCTGAACAAGAAGAGGAGGACGACAATAGAAACAGCGAGAGACGATGTCCTGAACATTCATCTGTAGCTGCACGGATGAAGCTGAGCCAGAGAGAGGGAGGTGATTTTTATGCAAACACACTGCTCTACTTTGCAGTTTTTGATTATATTTAACTACATTTGAGTGTTCTGACCAACTACAAACTTAAGAGGCAGGTGTCATAAGAAGATTCTTGAAGGTCTTCATCATAATGAAATCGACTGTTTACAAGTACAAAAAATTAAAATAACTGCACCCCCCCCGCGGCGCTCACGTTAAGGCCTCTCTGTCTCAAAGTCCCCGGCTGTACACCCCGGGATGGGTGACTTCCTTTTTTTTAACGTCACTCGATGTTCTTATTTAACCCAAACCCCCCCAGAACACAGCGTTGCTGCAGAAGGTTTCCGGCCGACAGCCGCAAAGTAACTGATCAGCTGCTGCAGGGAGGAGGTGTAGAACCTGTTTGTGATGTGGACTCATGAGGAAGAAGCTGAAGGCGAGGTGAGCGTTCAGAAACCTTCAGGCGTTCTGACACGTTACGCAACAGTTCCTGGGAGACGACCGGCAGCCGAGAAAGCTCGGCGCTAAAGGTCGAACGGCGCTCCGGGAAACTTCTCACACTTTTCTGTATTCCAGCTGGAAATGTCACAAAGAGCCTCTGCAGAACTTCATCCAGCGTCTCATTAAAAAGAAAAGGTGGCCCTTCAGTTTCCAGGTCGCCTCACTTCCTCATTTTCTTCTAACAAGCACAAAATCATCATCTAATTAGAGAAAAGGAAGACAAATAGTCGATGAGCTTGTTTCTAAAGCAAACACATTTACATTAAAGAGAGAAAATCTACTGAGAAACGATCAGGAAGGAAAACCAAACGAGGCAGAAATGAAAGAGAACCCAAAGGAAGCCAATTACAAAAGTCTCTCTGTAATCTCCGTCTGCACGTCTTCTCGCTTCGTCTAAAAACAGCTGCAAACCGAACTGTTGTTTGAGACTGACCGCAGTGCAGAACCTCCATTTTCTCTAGACCCTTCAGCACAGAGACAAAGTCGGGTTCCAGAGTCCAGCTCAGCAACACGAGCCGCTTCTGTCGTCCGCCGGCACGTTCGGACGTGAAGCCTCTCTGCGAGCTGCCGGATCACGATCAGCTCGGCGCGCTGCGATTCGCTGTTTGAGGTCACGTGACTCCGATGACGCTCGACAAGACAGGACACAGAGACAATTCTACAATACGGAACAATGCAAGATCTCATGTGAAGGCAAAGGTGAGCAAATTGCTCCGTGCAAAAAGTGAATTTCTTGGTAGGAACTCTGGGCCCCGCTTGCATTAGGGGCGTTTAACAGTGAAGAACGGTCAGTGTGTCGGGCGCATGGTTCATTGGCGCATTGCTGCTATAATGGCGGATTATTAATCCATCAGCTGACTGATTGAACTGCAGACTCACGGCAGAGGGGGGGTGGACGTGATATAACACCTGAGCAGACGCCGGCTCCTCTAGGACCCTCAGTGCGCTGCGTTATTAGACACTCTCCCTCACACCGGAGTCTTTATTCTGGCTTTTAATGATGTAGGAATCTTTTCTTTAACCGTTTCCTTTCATGGTCAGAGAGGCTGCTGTCACGTTTCCACGTGCAGCAAAGTCACAGCGAATATCGAGGGGCATTTAAGCAGCAAAACTAAAAGCTGTAGTTCTGAAGTCGACATGACGGGACAGAGGAAACAGAATCCAACTTTTAGCTTCTGAAATCACTGAGACGGGTTCACCGGATGAACCTGGACTTTCTGTGGAGAAGAGTCATGAATTAACATCAGATCCGGACCGATCCGCGTTTGGGGGGATTTTAATAATCAATGAAGTGACGGTGAAAAACTTTCTGCTGCCTCAAGATAACAACACACCGACATTTAGGAGCAGCACTCCCCTCAGATGGAAACAAGTGCTCTTTAAACACGTGGCTGCTGGGTGGGAAATCACAACTGCGTCAGTTGGAAACTAGCAAGCGAGAACTGTCCAAGTCTAAAACAAAAAACCAAGTCTGGAGACAAAGACAAGTCAGTCAAAGACCCTCCAGACTTTGCAGAGACTAAGACCAGGTCCCAGGACTACAGCCCGGCGGCTTGTGTCTCTTCTCAACAGTTATCATGTGACGAGTCCGCTCACCTTCCATCACGTACACCAGAGAGCCCACGTCGCCCTCTTCGATGATGCACGCGTCTTTCCCATAATCCACCGGGTACATGCAGTCCACGATCTCCTGGATCTGAGACAGCTCCAGGTTCTTCATGAAGTCGTTATCCAAGATGGCCTCCTTAATCATGTCCTTCGACCTGAGACGAGGAGACAAGGGGAGGAGACAAGGAGAGGAGACAAGGAGAGGAGAGAGAGTCGTTTATAGTTGATGAACAAAGGACTGCTGAAAAAAAAAAAAGGAGGCTCTGCCTTCCAGACTGAATTCAGGGTAAAGTGACCTGAGTGGCTGCAGTTAGTGTTGAATTTATTTGAATGTCTGATCAGAGGAAAAGCAGAATGTTTCTGTCTGGGTCCTTCGTGAGCAGGACAGTTCTGCTGTGTCTACGCTTCATGTGACATATGATTTATAAATACTTTAAGATTTACTGTGAACGGTACATTTAAAATACACAACGTACAATAATGATACAAGAATATGTGAAAACCAGGAAAGCTTTTTATAGTTCGTGCTGCTTTACTGCACACGTTTCTTTGGTTCTGTAAAGCACTTTGTAACCAAGTGCTGCACAAATAAAGTTTATTATCATCATCACGCAGGCAGGCGAGGGCCTGGACTCAGCAGTCAGGTGAACCATGAAATGACTGTATGTGTGCGATTTATTAACGTCTGAGCGCATCTGAACGAGCACCAAAACTCCACCTGCTCTCCAGTTTCCAGAGTCAAACCTGCGTCTCGTTCGGCCTCTGAAAGACGGTTTATCAGTTTGATGACAGAGTTTCTGTCACAGCTTCTGCTCGAGAGCAGTTTGATGAACAACTTTAACATTTACTGATGTTTTCTTCAGCTTAAAGCCAGAGAGCCGACCCTCTGCCGACCTCAGACGCTCTGTGATGTGGGCTGATGGAGCCGGCAGGTGCTGCACAGATATCACGCGGTTCTTCATAACACTAATAATAATAAGCAGGCTGAAGTTCTGGTGTTGTTACAAATGTCCGTGGGATTCTGCAAACGGTCAGAGATGAAAGCGATCTCTCCTCCCCTCAGCTGCTCCTTTATCATTTACAGTTTTTACACTTTCTACTGCAGCAACAGTGATTCAAAGTTCGGTCTCAGGTTTATCCTGATGAAAAATCCCACATTAGGTGTAAAATTGAAGTTAATGAATGTAAATTCTCAATGATTGCGTTATAATGGCACATTTTCTGAGCAGCTGCTGCCACACATCTGCACTCCTGCAGAGAAGAGGAGCAGCTCCTTCCTCCTTCAGACGTGGACAAATGAAAGCAGCTCAGCGCTGAGCTGCATGAGCCAGCTGTGGTCGAGCCCCACGCGCTCTCTACAGAGAGAGAGAGGGGGGATATCGCAGCAGAGCCAAAGGTTTCCTTCCTGTCAACTCAATAAAGCACATTTTAATTGAAACGAGCTGAAAAGATGACGAGAGAAAAACAAACAGTCCAAAAATCAACGCTCGCAGCTGTCGACTGGCTCAGTTTGAGACTCTGCTGATATTTAACCACTAAACTCTCTCAAATGTCTTGCTGGTCTGGACATCAGGGCTCTGAGGTGTGATGTGGGTCTATAACACGACTAGTCTGCTCTGTACTTCGTCCCAAATGAAATTCTTCTCACATACAGGCGCCTGGTCAGACCCGTTGGCGTCGCTTTTTAACGCCCTGGCTACCCTTTAGCATCCTTTCTGAACGTGTGGGGATCCACGGTCAAGTTAGCCAGAATAAACATGCAACGTCCAGTTAGACTTTCAAAATAAAACCAGTCGTTAACGTTGTGAAACGTTTACTTTTGGTTAGGTTTAGGAAAAGATCACGACTGAAAATGTATTTAAACATTACTGACACAAAACAAAGCTCCTGGTCTCCTGGTTAAAAGTCCAGTTTCTGGCCCACCGTCCACCCCAACCACCTCCTTACTCTGACTTCTCTATTAAGTTTCTTACATAACCCCACAGGGCTGAACTACGACTCAGAGGTGACTTAAAAACTGGGGCCAACGGGTGATGACCGTGCGTCCATACGTCTGAGTCGAGGTGCAGACGTTTGTGTCTGAAACGCTGGCTTATAAGAGCTCACTCTGTTTAAAGAGGGGAAATACACCTGAAAGAGCCGGGTTTTATTTTGGTGAATCTGCAGAGGAAGAAATATTTCGCCTGGTTTAAAGATCTGCATGTAAATGGGACTCTGGAGGAAAGCGAATGGAATGAAGACAGACTGAGCGGACGGAGGGGGTGATGAAGCAGACCATTGTGTTTTCACTGCATGAGTCACGGGGGAGGAAGGAGGCGGAAAGAAACATTAAAATGGAAGACAGTCTGAAGAGTCAACCTGATTTACAGGTTGGAGAGGAAAGGAGGCGGAAAGAGAGAAAACAAAGCAAAGAGGTACAACAGGCTGAATAAAAAGTAAATTACGAGGATGTAAGATGTAGATCAAAGGAAACACAGTTCAGCTCCTTGTGAACACGTTTAACTCAAACACAGATTCAAGAAAAATGCACTACAGAATTATTACTTTCTGGTAAATATGTAAATAACTGGATATATTGTTTTATGCATTTTTTATTTTATTCTGCTCTCAGTTTAAATATTTGTACATGTGTTCTTTGTGTGCAGCACAGAGGGGCCATAGGGGACCCTGGAGACATGGCCCCACCACTTCTTTAAAGGATCATTTGTTAAAAAAATATTCTGAAATGTAGTTAAATAAAATTAGAAAATGCCTTTAGAACAGTTTATCTGCACATTCAGAAAACATGTAGCACAATTAAAATTTAGAAGAAATTGTCCCAAATAACTTAAAACAAACAAGCTGCTGATTATAAAACAACCCAAAAACATTCACGCAGCAGTCAGTAACTTTAACAACTTCTTTTCACAGTTTCCTTGTGGCCAAGTTTTCCGTTCTCTCCCTGCGAACATGACAAAAGAGGAGGGAAGACTAAATCAGGCCTCAGCAGGGACGATGTTGCAGAGAAACAGATCTGAGAGCAGCACAGAATGACTGAGATTCTGTCATTTTGTGTTTCCTTATAAATAAATAAAAACATTTCCACCCCCCCGCCTGTATCTCAGCATCGAGGATATCTTTAAAATACTGTTTAAGGATCTTTTCATCACATATCGTGAAGTCTCGTGAGCTAAGGCCCCGTCCACACTGCTCAGGTTTTAAACGAAGACGATCTCCGTCCACATTAAAACGTCCAGTGGCCGTTCACGTACACTGGGCGTGTGCAGATGGTCTGTTCCGTAGTTACAGAAGAATTTGGCGAAAGAATAAAGTAATTCAGACAAGGGGTCGCACCAGATTTTATTTTGCATGGACCAATAACGAGCTGGGACTGTTACTGGATGGAACACGGGAGTTAAAAGCGGCGGGGGCGGCAGGAAAATGACTGGGAGTCGTTGCGAAGTAAATACGCCGACGTGCACAGTGCAAGTGTCGGCTGTAAGTCTTATTTGTACGGTACAAAATATTTGAATAAAAACACCAAATCAAAGCATCGTGTTTCTGCTTTGTATGACTGATAAGAGCCAATCAGAGAGCAGAGCGCGCGCGTCGGCGTCATCGTTTCTAAAGTCCTCTGTTTTTGCCCGTCTGCACTAAAACACTAGCCGGAGTTTTAAAATGAAAAAATGGTCGGCAGCGTTTTCAAACTTCTCCGTTTCAGGTCTTCGTTTTCGCTGTTTTAGTCTGGACGGGAGGAGCAAACGTAGCAAAACGCAACCAGGTGGGAGTTTGAACCTTCGAGATTTAAAGACCAGACACCAGCTGGTGAAGCTCGATCTCCAGTTCCTTCCACAGAAGTTCTTCTGGGGTTAAGTGACTTCCCGGCCGACACCTTTTATGCAGAACGTTTAGGATGACAACAGATTCTTCTTCCAGGCTCATTCATCCTCCCTTGGATAGTTTGGATTCTGCCGGTACCGTGAGAAGAGAAACAGCACCACACCGTGATGCTTCCACCTGCGGCGAGCTTCGCTGTCAGTATTTTTATGCTCGTTCAGCCATTTCTCCTCCACACATGGCGTGACGCATTCTCCCAGTAACACAGGCTCCTCCAGATGCTGATTAAAAAGCAGGAGCTCCAACATGGCATGGACACCGTGGTGCTGGAGTCTCATCATGGTTCGAGGCAACGAGTATGAGAAATGTTAAAGAGGTCATTGACTTCTAAATCTTTCTGCGCATGGAACAGGTTTGCAAAGTGAAGTCCAGCCCAAAGGGAGCTCCCGTCTCCCACAGAAAACTCTGCTCCTGAACTGAACGCAGCTGGATGGTCGTCCAGCCTCTCCTTCAGGAACCTCTCTGGCGTGGCCCGTTGGAGCCCCTCCAGGCAGTCAGAGGACATAAAGCTGGTTCTGTGATGTGGAGACGGAGCTCAGGTCAAACGTTACGAAAGATAAATGTGCTCCAGATCAATAACTCACCGATCTCAAACTCTCGATCCAGTCTATGTTCTGAAGCCGGTTCTGGTTGTTGTGCCTGTGTTTCGGGATCAGACTCACTACTGATGCGGCTCCGTTTTGGATCTGACTACCTTGCTTGTCAGGACCCGCCCTACTCTGCTTCTGATTGGCTAGTAGTCCTTACCTAGGTACTGCACATGTGCAACTCTCAAACAAACAAAGATCTAATAGAAGTGAGATGCTTCACTCGGTAGCTGAAACAAAGTGTTCAACACAGGGTGAACAGTCCGGCCTGCTCTGGACACTGAAGGCTTCAGTAAAACCACCATCAGGATCATGTTTCCTGCACGGTGCAGCAGCCGCTGATGATACTGATGATGTTGGATGGAAACCGTGTCAGTGTGACAGACGGGCCGTCCTCAGCTTCACAATAAGAGTCCTCTCTCAGCAGCAGATCTGTGACAGCTGAGTCTCAGCTGATCATTAACTCGTCTGCTGTGGCCAGCTGAAAATGCTCATGATGCGTTACTGCAGACAGCAGGAGAGCTGGTGGGTGTTTCCAGCCCACACACACTCTACTGTAATACTTTTATGTTTTTAAATAACACACACACACACACACACACACACACACACACACAGGCTGCAGGACGCTGACAGCCAGAAGTGGTGGGCTGGTAAATGAAACCCTGTCAGGGTGTGTGTGTGTGTGTGTG